CACAACCTCCCCCTTCATAGCCTCCCGTCCACTAACGGTCCTCTGCACCGCATCCTTGTTCTCATACGCCCTCCTAAGCAAATACTTCATGCACTCCCCCGTGCTTCCCCAAACCAAATACTTGTAGGCATTCGTCTTGACCCCTCCTCCCTCTTGCTTACCACCAGCCACAAGTTCGCAGCTCACCTCATCCGCCATACCCTGCAGCTGCGCAAATGCCACATCGGTCCTCTTATCCGCCTCCCCGTTCGCAATCATCCTCTTCGCCTTTAATACCGAATCCCTATTATGCGTGGCCAAAACCACAGCCACGTCCGGAAATTTATCATCACCAGTCAAAGGCGTTCCCCACTCCCGCTTCAACAAAGCCCTCGCAATCCCATCATACGCCCTATCGGTATCCTCCTTCGTATCATGTATCACCTCCCTCGGATCACTACCCAGGTATGCTCCCCTCACAAGCTTAACACCCAACGTGAAGCCGTTTTCCTTGGCCTCCCTCATATGCTTAGACAGTGTCTCGGGCGTCTTCTTCAAATAAGCCTGATAAGTCCCGTACACGACCGCCTTGCCGGGCTCATCCGCATTGTACTTGCGCATATACATCATCGTCCAGTCGTCGATCCCGCCCTGAACAGCAGTCTGCTCGGCGTCAAACAACAACCTCACGCCTCGTTTCTTTGCCAAGTCGCAAATGACATCGATAGCATCCGCCAGTTCTTTCGGTGGTGCCGCCCTCTTTTGGAGAGCAGATAATGCCGCGCTCCCGGCGCCGGTGAACTTGAGAGCCACAAAGTCACCCGCCGAAGCAAGAAGGACAGTCATGAGCGTACCAGTAGCCCAGGGTTCGACTTCGCTTTGGATTGAGGCCACTTCGGCCGCGTTGGAGTTTCCTTGTGCTGTAGCGGTCGACTCAGAGCCGTGAGGGAGGACAACTTCCCTTGCGTATCCAAGTATGACACCCTGGAACCCAATGTCTTTGAGCTGCCGGATGGTTTGTTGTACCTCGGTGGGATGTTCGCCTGCGCAGAACTGCGCATAGAAAGTGTTCTTCAGGAAAGCTCTAAGAAGAGGGTTTGTGTCGGGATTTAGTGCGGGGGAGGTAGTGTGGGCTAGTGCCGACATGATCTTGAGAGAAGGTGGTAGAAGAAGGGGTGAGGACGAGACAGTTGTAGTCATCCATGATCTTAGGACGTTCGTTAACGGCAGGACTGCCAGTGGTGACGTATTATACGGTGGCATGTCTGGTGAAGATTGTTGATGATCGATGTCTGCTGAAGATGATGTGATGTCGACTGCGTCGGCGAGACTGAGATTCGCTGGAGGTAATGAGTGGGCGGAGGAAGAGTGGAGGGATCGCGTCGAAGTTGTGGAAGAAGTAGTAGATGCTGACCGAGCGGTGAGTACAACGGTCGTGCAACGGGGCAAGAACGTTGCAGCGGAATGTGCCTTTGACGGTGAAAGACCAGACGACGCCAACGATAATGATGTCGGTGCAACTGCTCGCCGGGCAAAGGTACGGGACGAGCCCGGAAGAGTTCGCGGAATTGGAGCCATCGTGTGTAATGGGGAGATTCAATGAGCTCGGCGTGTAAGCTTCCTAGCGCAGAATTGATACGATGTGCGTTTTGCAAACAAACAAAGTCCAGATGAACGGGACGGAGAGACAACGCAGTTATATGATGTATATATGCAAATGCCAGACATTCGGCGCGGGGGGAGCGTCCTCTGGGGACAGACAAGCAGAGTAAATATCCCATGGGGATTGATTGCTTAATCTCCCGGTATCGCTCCTGCGGTGACTTCAGAACGTGCCAGAACCCACCAATCCCACGGATTCCAGATACGATCCATGCAACGCCTCTCGCCTTTGTCAAGGTTCCTGACCCTGGCGCTCTGCAGGCGATGATGTTATCGACGGTTTCCTTATCAATCGTCCATTCAAGAACCACGGTTCCCCACACAAAGGAAGGCCGCAGATAGCCGTCAGTGTGGGGATGAGACACACTGCCGTCATTGTTGAATTGGCCCCGCATTCATGCCTCCCCGGTGTGTTTTCCCATCATTCCATTGGGCCCTGCCAAGTGATCTAACGCAGAGAGCCGTGGGTGATTGCGTGGGTTAATGACTATCTTCTTCAACCGCCGCCGGCTTAAGACTTCGGGGTCATCTCGGTCGGGGCTTCCAAAGAGCCAAGAGCAGTCCGGCCCAAACAACAAAGGGTTCTAGCGACCTCGGAGAGCGGCTGATGTCGGCGTGTGAAGAAAGTCAATCCATCATGTAATAATTGATCAATCTCCATGGGGTGATGAATGGATGGTCATGTGGTCTGGTCCCGCGCTTCAACGTTGTGGGGAAGTAGGCTGGTTATGAAGGTTGTCGTCGGTTTGTGGGAGTGTGAGCCCCTGCGGGCCGAAGCGATAAACGCCTCGTTTACTGTTTTAAAATAAGCTGTTTTCCCCTTTTTTGTGTGTGCGACAGGAGTTGTCAGATTCCCCGGGTGGCGCAGTATAAGATCTGACAAGACCCGCTGATACCGAGCGCGTGGCCACTCCTCGGACGGAATCAATCCTTTCCCCTAAATCCGCGGATTCGTTGTTTTGCGTATTCAACGTAGCTGATGCGTCGTCCTCGGGCAAGTCCCAGTAGGTCTTGCATTCCTCCATACAAAACACCGACAATGAGGGCGGCTTTCGTGGTACGAGCAGTCATGGGCAGAGAAAAGCGGTCTGTGGTGCAAAGATTATTAGCGCCCTTCCCAGATCAAAAAAGCATCCCAGAGAGTGACACCTACTCCAAAGACTGAATGCTCCAGCCACGGTCACGCAGGAAGTCACCGTGTTGAAAAGATCCGCGGTTCCACGGTAGGTGTCGAACATTTGCTCAATCGAAAACATGGCCGTCGTCAAAAATGACACTTTGAATCCCATCTTTAATCCTTCGCGGACTCCTCCTTTCATTACATGGTAGTTCTTGCTCTTGTGGTAGAGATACCATCCCGTCGTCGTGTTAGGGAGCTTGTGTGCGTGTTCGGCTCTGAATCGCAGACCGGACATTTTGCTACCGTGACCAGCCCCGAGGGCAAGTCCAGCACCAAACGAAAGCATCGTTGCCATCGGCAGTCGGATACCGGTCGGAATGGAAAGGCGCGCATCGCGATAGAATGCCTCAAGCTCTTCTTTGGTCGGGGGTTCAATTGGTGTTTCTCGGTACCGCTGAGGCTCGTTCCCAGGGTCTGTCTTGGGTCTGATGATGTCCATTGCTGTTGTTTGTTGCTGATTTTTCTAATCAAGCTGATTTGGGAGTGATCGAGCTCTCGAGGATGGAGGAAAAAGACACAAATAGCTGGTGGTATTGGAGTTCTTCTGTCCATCATTCTCATGTTCAGGTGGAACATTGAATTTGTTGGAGTCGGTCCAAGCTTCTAAAATACCCCACTCCAGGCAGCCCTGCCGCCTTGGCAGTGCCCCTCCTCCCCGCCAAAGCTCCAAGCTCCAAGTCAGGAACCATCCCGTCCATTTCCAGGTTCCTAAGCACCTTGACGGCGCAATAGGAAGACTGCTTTGGACAAAACACATTTTCACCCAAACAGCCCCCTAATAGCGCACAACCACCAGAAAAATAAATCAAGATGGTGAGCGCGCACATGCATCCCCTCGGATCAATTTCTTCCGAGTCTCCTGCAAGCTCCAAGTAACACCCACTAACCTCTCCCGTCCCGGTGCTACAGCCCATTACAAACGGCCACAGCGACGACACTCCAACCGCCCTAACAGTCCTCCTAAAAAACGGCATTCACACAATCTTCATCTTTGCCTCCCCCGAATGGACCTTCTCCCGCCTCACTTCCGAGCTTCTATCCATCCTCCGCGAGCGATACCCATCCGGTCTGACCTCCACAATTGCGCCCCGCAAGATCACGCCCATACCAGCCCACAATGATGATATCAAGGTAATTTACGGCTTGCTCAAAGATGCAGAGGATCCAACGCGGGGATGGGATGAGATTGTTGTTGAAGATCCAGAGGTGAATACATTAGGCCAAAAGGGATTTATAGAGGTTACGGCGGCTGCTTTCGCGATCGTGGATAAGGAGTATAATCCACAGGTTGATGATGCCGAGTTTGATGTTGAGATTCCCAGGGATGATGAGGATGAGTACTAGGCCTCATGACGGGTTAGGGGTGTGATGCAGTGGGGAGACATGGGAGACAGTCATTCTCTGGCCGTCGACTTGGACTGGGGGTCTAAGTATGACTTGGGCTGGAGAACAGGGACACGAGGGAAAAATATGACATGGGAAGTGGAATACAAATCGGATATCAATGGCGTTTGGTTTGGGTAAAATAATCCCGAGCGAGGAGTCTCGGTCTGAAATGATTTGACAGTTTTGTCTTGCGACATTGGCTCATGGGCAGATTCGGCAATGGAATGAAGTTTATCTTTTATTTCTTTCGCCTTTTTTCAGAAGGTCGCTACAGGAAAAGATAAATAAATCTGTGAACCTAGCCAACCTGCTGTTCCGGGCTTGCTCTTGTGCTTGAGTGAGATGCCAATGAACAAAACCATATCCAGTTGTCCAGGAGCCTTGCCGACCCTTGTGACAATTTCTGGTTGAAGTAGAGAGGCAGAATAGAACACATCTGTAGATGTATGTGTTGTGATAACAGCATGCTGTATCCTACATCAAGTGCGCATCAACGGCGGCTGCTTGCATTGTCACCTGTACCACATGGGCAAACACATAGCAACATACCAATCTGCAACATACGTGCACGCCCGCCTCTATCTCAAATGCATGCAAAGAAGCAAGCGCAACAACTTCTTCACCTGCATTCTCAGATACCAAATATCTCCTGGTTATATCCCTCAAACTTCATCCATTCATCAATAATCAGTTGGTATTAATTTCGATATTCCACATACACAAAACCCCACTTCATATGCCCGTTTTACCAACTCTGCCGTCAAGTTCAATTGGATCAAACAACTTAAAAGATGGTTGTGTAGTGTAGTGGTCATCACACTGGATTTTGAGTTGACAGAAAAATTGTCAGATTTTGTTCGAAATCCTTCCAGTAACCCCGGTTCGAACCCGGGCACGACCTGAACTTTTTTGGATTTTCATTTTTAGCTAAGATAACTTGGTTGTTGTTATTGTGTATGAATGGTGAAAGTTAAAGCGTTTTTTTTTGAGTTTTTTTTATGTTGAGGGATGATGAATGGAAGATATGTTCAGGGATTGGGTGCAAAGATAAAGTGCACGTACCTATCACTTCTGTAGTAAATAATAGGGACTGTGTATGGGCAGACTGGTTGTCTTGTGGGAGGTAGTTTGCAGGTTCTGTACTCTTCTGGAAGATAAAAGACGGATTAAAACTGAGTTGTTTTGCAATTTATTGAGAGCGAGTCTTGTTGACTGATTGAGATTATAGGAAGGTCCAAAAAGTCTCGACTACAGGTAAAGTGTGCAATGAAAGACTGATATAATCTTGTCAACGGCTTGCATACATAACACAAAATGGTGTGTTGTCATTGTGGGAATGGTAAGTCTATAAAATCATCCAATAATGATGAAATTCCATTTTCCTCTTTCAGGAGTTCCGATGGGCTTGCCCGCCAGTGCTGAAAAGGAATATCTATGTAAGTCAGGAAGATTGACAAACATTGAGCAACTCTTATTAGACAATTGTATTTCCTTAGAAGAAAAAAAAAGAAAAGCAAATAAAACCCTCCGAAGTCGTTAAGACCAGAGCTGATACCAGCATAATACTTGGATTCAACAAGATCTATTCTTACTCTGCTATAAGCTCTATCCTTGCCCCAAAAAAGTGGGAAAGGGAGGGAAAAGGGAAAGAAAGAAAGAAAGAAAGAGAGTCCTTAGACGGGTCTGTAAAGTGAGTCTATGTTACCCGAACATATAAGAAACCTAACCCCAGAGTAATATAATCTACTCCTCCTCCTCCTCGACAGCCCCCTCACTCCCGCTCCCACTCCCCTCACTCCCATCATCCCTCCTCCTCAACCCCCTATCCCCCTTCCTCGCCTTTCCCTTCGCCGCCTTGCCCCTCAATCCCGCGGGCACGTCCTTCTTCACCTCCCCATCCTCAAACAAAACACCAATATCCGGTCGTCTCGCAACCGCCTTCTTCCACAACGACTTTGGAATCTCATCGCTCGTTATGATTGCGCCAGCTTCACTTCTGTACCAGGATGCCTTGTCAAGAGCAGAAGGCAAATGCACCCAGATACTGACTTCGGCCTCTTGCTTTTGGACTTGGTCACCCGAGGCGGGAACAAAAGAATGATACTCTGCTCCTCCTGGAGCGCGGGTGATACCGCCCAATGTCAAGAGGAGGGGGTATCGCTGATAGGACGTTTCGTACATGACAAACTCGGGGAGGTCAGGCGAGGTAGAGGTGATTCTATCTCCGATGGGAACGGGGGACGTGACGGCCGTCTCTTCAGACTTGGAAGTGATGCGGGAGATTTCCCAGGATGTCGGTTCGCTTGCGGGCGTGTCAGGTTTCTGACGAAGTTCAAACCGTGCTTTGGTGGCGTTTGAGACTACGCGGTGGATGTCCTTCAGTTCGGCGCCGTATTCTGAGATTCTGTGGTGGGCGAGCTTCAACTAAGTCAGTTTTTGATGTCATCTGTGACAACTGGGAAGAAACAAGGACACATACAATAGTGTCTAGCGAGATCCATCCCTCGGCATCAGCAACGAGGTACTCGGCATTAGAAGTCCCATTCTCTTCAGCATCTTCCTTGGCCTCTTCCAGCTGGATGGCACGCTTGACGACAAACATCAACGCCTTGGCAATGCTGGTGTCTCTCTCCTCAACAACGCTGTAACGGCGTCCTCCGCCGGGACGGTTGGACTTGAAGCTCATGCCTCTGCTCCGGCCATGGCGAGGGTTGTGCTGCGTCAGAGCGCTGGGAGGGAGAACACCGCCGAGCTCGCTGTTGATTGCGGAAAGAGGGACAGCAACGGCAGCGGCCATGTTTGGTTTGAAAATTGAGATAACTGTTGTTGATAATGGAATGATATTGTGTACACAAGTCAAGTTGTAGAGAGTTCCTGAGAGAGAAAAAGGAAACGCAGAACTTTGTGGACATCAGGGCAGCTCCATTTATAAGAGACTCGGATGTCAGTAGAGGCGAAAGTATTACTCAAAAATGCCCATTGTGGCCACCCCTTCCGGTAACACTGATGAGCCATAATGATATGTCACATTATTTCAGGCACCGCCTTGACCGCTTCGCCTCAACTTTGATCAATGCCGCTTTCCATGTGTGCAATATTGGTGTGGTGGCATCCAGATGTTGGCTGGGGAAGATACACCCCTGTCATCTGATAAACCTGGCGCCAGGGGAGATGCAGAACAGCTGACGTGATACCCGTTGCTAAACCATCCACGTACTATCCGTGCTACCCAACCCGCCACCCGTGACTCCCCCTTTCCAGCTCTGTGTTGTATTGTTTACTTTGCCCCTCATTTCGTGTATCCTGAGGCTGCCTAGCTTTGCCATGTGTTTTTTTCCTGCGCACCTATTGAATGTGATATGTTGTGAATCATTCTTAATCAGTCCAAGAGCTACTCTCGCTTCCCCAAGAAATCACCCCTCCGCGGGGTTGTCGGTGGGATTAACTGGCTGGCAAATGTTTGTTTCCCGCTGCGTTTGCATCTCACCCCTCACTTGATACACTCACCGCCTGCTCTGACTGCTACGTGTCTGCCCTGCATCCGAAATATGCAAGTAGACGCGACGCCCTGAGTGACTGCGTTTCAATCTGTATACTATGCGTGTAAGTCACAGTACCGCATGTACAGCAGTCGTGTCACACCCATGCCCCCACTTGCAGGCCGTCTTGGCCATCTCAGATCAGGTGTGGACCCCTGTCTTGAAAGTCTCGTGGTATATGAGGAATCGGACTAAAGATGATCACCAGGAGGAGTTTGGATGGAAATGCCATACTGATGGCTCGTGAATGGCGGTTGTGTTCACGTCTGCCGAGTTTCGAGATCCAATACAGCTTAGCCTGGGCATCATTAATATTGGTTTCGGGCTGCAAGTATCGAGGGGTTGTTTTGCTCAACTGACCACATCTGAACCCCTCAACCTGGTCGAAAGTAAACATTGCGGGGTACGACCGAAGAGCAACAGATAGGGGGGCGAGATGACAACAAAACATCGAGTGTGACTGATATGATTCATTCTGAGATCCCCAGGCTTTCTTGGCTCGCCCCAATTTCTTGGAAAACACACGGCAGATTCGGGTAACCAGAATAACCGTATCCATGGATCGATCTCAACAGTTGTTTCTGAATACCATCTAATCGAAACGATAAGCGAAATGACAAGAGAAATGCCTCAGTGTACAGATTATACCAAAAGAACATGCTGAGTGCGTGTATAATAAATAAATAAAACCTTCCGTCTCCGGGTATCAACGATTTTGCAATAAACCAAACGATGGGAAATGACCAGACTTCTGTCAGTCAATGACACGGAGAACCCAAAAATCCACTAAAACCCCCTTTTCCCAGAAATTCCGTTTCTCCATCCTATCGTTCAAAGGCAGCCCGACTCTTCCCACCATTCCTCATCTTGACGTTATACTCGCTCCTCTTCCGTATCATAAACGCCAACCCAAGCATAAAATCCATTTCTCCCTTTTCTCCCTTGATTGTGTGCAACAATGGCTTCATAACTCTCTCAGCCAACCTCTCAGCAGTCATCTGGTTCTCGCCCGAGAACTCAGCAATATCTCCCCACACCGACAACAGCAGCTTGAACAAGGCTCTCTCGGGGCCCTTGATCCCCATCAATGCTTCCTCCCAAAAGTCAATACCCTGATCCAACCTCATCGCCAAACCACCAGAAGATACCGTCGCCTGCTTGCTCAACTTGACCCATCTCTTGGCCAAGGAATCAGGAATGAGCGCCTTGGGCAATTCCGAAAGATACAGCAGGATCAGATCCGCCGCATCATACACGGTAAAATCCCTCCAATCCAGCTGTTTCCCATACCCTGTCGCAGGCGAGTTGAAGATATCCTTAAGATCACCCACCCGGAACACGTCGCCATCTTGTCCGAACAAATGGGGGATCTCGATTCCCATATCCCGAATGTAGTACACGCACCGAAGTATACAGAGCGGGTAATCTCTTCGACCCGATGAACCGCCATTATCGTGGTTGGTGGACGCAACGCCTTTGGCCACGCGCATTGATACGGCCAAAGGAACCCCAAAGACAGTCGTTGGTTCTACTTCCGGGACCGTAGGGGATTCAGGCGCCTTTGATGACGAGCGGCCCAATCCGAGACGCGAAAATGCCGAGCCCAGCCTCGAGGTGCTGCGCTTGCCCGAGGAGATAGGGCTGACGGGTGGTGACATGGCAAAGGAACTCTTGGACATTGTTGTGGCGTGAGAACTTGGGCGGTACGGGCCCGGTGTGGGAATTTCGCGTGGGTTCTCGAAGACTGAGAAACGAGAGGATTGTTTTTTAAGACTCGGCGGGCGGGAGTCTCCAGAGCGATATGACTGCGAGTCACTGTGTGAGGAATGGGAGTGGTCCGTCATGCCGCTGTAGTACTTGTTTTCTCGAGCTGAGTTCGGGCCGAGGCTGGGTGGTGGGGAGTTGTAGCTCCAACCAGAAAGGTGATGATCAGTGTTGCTCATGCTGTTGCTCATGCTCGATCGGGAGGCCATATCACTCTCGCCCGAGTTAGAGACCGAGCCATAGTAAAGGCTATCTGATGCACTTGGGCGGCGGCTGAAGTTGGGGATTGATTGGCTCAAGCGGGCGAGGGATCGAGGGGGCGGTGGTGGTGCCCGAGTCCTGACATCTCTGACAGGATGCGCGGGCATTTCATGCAGTTCGCCGGAAAACTCATCCATCTCATCAAACGCATCATCGATAAAGCTTGTGGTGATTTTGGTTAAGTGTCGCTTGAACGGCGCGTGGGAATCGTCGCAACTCAACTCGATTGCGCTGTCCGGGTCACCCACGGACGATGGCGGCACCGGAGACATTGCATTTCGGCTCTCGATTCGAGGTGGGTAAGAATCCCTCTCTTGTTGTTCCTCTTGTTGTTGAT